ACTTCATCACACATCAACACTCCTCCTCAAGCATCACATCTCTAATTAAAACAGAATCTCAAAAAACAAGGCTGATCTTTGTACTAATCAGTCTTTGTGTTGTGCGTTCACGTGACAGGCTGACAGTAACAGTTAGGGTTAGATCATCACAGACTAACACAGGAAGCCTGGTGTAGCACTGCTGCACAGGGTGGTGGAGTCATATACTAGGGTTGATCTTCAACACAGCAGGAAATCAAGGTTGTGATGCTGCACTACTGATACTTCTCTTCTCGGCAGCAGGAAGAAAGCAGTGTCGCCCAGCTTAGTGCGTCATTGCTTTGCTTAAATGTTGGCCCTGGCTGCCTCCTGCTGGTCATCCTGTTGCTTGAGGCGATAGTCAGCCAGGGCAGCCTTAATTGCATCCTCTGCAAGCACTGAAGGGAAAGAAATTGAGGTTTAATTCATAGATGCACATTATAATCGAGGAACAAAATGAGAATGAATCACTAAAAACTTACTGGAGCAGTGAAGTTTGACAGGTGGAAGACTGAGCTCTTTGGCAATGTCAGTGTTCCTTATCATCAAGGCTTCGTCCCCTGTGAAGAAAAACACATAGCTCAAAATCTATTTCACATGATGATAAGTCACAGACAGAAAAATGAATAATATGAGAAGAAATGTCCAGAATGTGTTTACTTACAGATTTGCCCTTCACCCATTCGGTGACCAAAGAGCTTGAGGCGATAGCAGAACCACAGCCAAAAGTTTTGAACCGAGCATTCACAATCTTCCCCTGCTCGTCGACCTCAATCTGTCAGAAAATTAGTTTTTTAAGGATTATTTAACAGCAAAGTGAGAAAATACCCTTAAAGTCTTTTGAAAGACTGTGATAAATATTAAAATCTTAAAAACTAAACAAAAGTAAGCCTGTTGTTTTAACCATCCGATTAAAATGACTTTATTGTTTTTTAAATAAAAAGAAAGCTGTGTTTTCCATGAAAAAAAACATCACAGGAAATGCTTTTTTATATCCATAAAATTAATAATTTAAGTCCAGGCGCCATCTACTGGTAAAACAAGAACATGACGTCTCAGTGCCCTATATATGGATCTTCATTTTTGATGAAGTCTTAGGTCGGTGCTTCATCCATACCTGGAGCTTCATCACGTCTCCACAGGCTGAGCACCACCAAACCGGTCCCTACATTTTTGGAATGTTTGTCCAATGATCCACATTTCTTGGGTTTTCATAATGATCCACCACCTACAGGGAGAAAGAAAGGAAGCATTGTGTCAGGAAAAAAACCAAAATGTGTCACAATGGCAGTCTGCAAATTTTTGAGGGTACTTCACAATAATGGATAACACGTGATTAAGAAAAATACGAGTGACATCCTCAGAATATTTCTGCATTTTTTACAACCAGACAAAGAATGTGTAGAAGATTCGGCATCACCGTTACATAGACAAGTTTGCATCATTACATAAGACGCAGAAATAAACAGATAAGCAGTGGATTTCATTGTCAGCGACATTGAGTACCGGATCTCCCCCTTCCCCTGCGCTTTTGCTGAGTCACTCTGACCAACCATATGAAGGGAGCTTGTATCCTCATGCATATCCTCATAAAAAGTACTATATTCTTGACACATAATCGTGTTATTGAATTAGATTATGTTTGTTGTAGGTTTTCTGCTCAAAATTAAGTCATCTCTTAATTTATAACCTTTAAGCTTTTAAAACTCAGTTGATGGTTAAGAACAATAAGTTTAAATAAGTCACAATTTGCTCAGCAAGCTTTTAAAGAACATTTACTTTCAACATTAAGCACAGTATAACATACAGAATTGTTTCCAAATGGGATGTCAGATGTAAAGACAGTCCATTTTAAGTGCGTCAAAGCCACACAGGAAAACAGCCTTAGACAAAGCTATATTCACTTTACACCATTCAAACATTAAACAATCATCTGTTGCCAGTGTAAATTAACTTTGTGATTGATTGTATCATTGATTCTGATTGTCACACAGCCCTATATTAATGTTACATCACATAAATTCAAACCAGGCATCTGAAATCTTATTAAATTGTTATAGCTGAAACATGATGCTTACCCTATTGAGAGATACACTGAATCTACAGGTATCACAGAAAATGTACATTTGTTGTTTTACACAATACTGAAACCCTTAAAGCTTATCAACAGGATGTGACTCAAGTATCTAAGATGTTGCAGTAGCTAAGTAGAGGACGGATTAGTGACGCCAATTTAGACTTTAATTTGGGCTGGCATGGCAAGCATTGAAACAATTACATAATGTTATGAAATCCATATTGTCACTTTAAACTAAATGTTTAAGGAAACCAAAAACACGCTGACAAATGTAAGTGCAACCTAAACAAACTCACCTCTTCTGATTAACAGTGTCTACCTACGTGGTTCATTAAAACCATGCAATAACCTGCACCGTACTATGATGCTTTGAATTATACAATGCGTAACACATGACCAACTTATGCTCCTGGTATTTGTAAACAGAAAGCTCGCTAGACACTTCCGACTAGGTATTAGAAGACTATTTGTTTTACCTTCTTGTGGTAGCAACACTGAGTGATGAACTCCGGAGCAGAGAGCCTCCTGGTGAGAAAACCCAGAGGACTCAGACACTTGTTCGCAACGGTGCCCGCCATGTTCACAGAGAGAGAGGGTGAATGGCGCAGTTTAGAAGAGGAGAGCAGCTTCAAGTCAAAAACACAGCCCCATACGTCACTGGCAGGGGGCGGGGCTTTGTTAATTCTATTACTCGCATGTTACATCAACCAGTGCAGGACAAACATCTGCTTTACTCGTGGTTTACACTACATAACACTAAAACACTACAAAACATAACACTACTGTCAAGTGAGCTGGCGGGCAATTGAATACAATTTTAATCTGGTTGTGAATGAGCTCAGAGAGAAGGGAAGAAGGGCTTTTTATTCCATTATGAAAAATGCAAACATGTTTTATCAGGCTAACCCAGGGATGGGCAACTTTGGTCACGGCAAGGGCCGCATTCAATTAATTCTCGATGCCAAAGGGCCAAATTGTAGTATACAAAATTCATCAATGATGAATCAATTATAAAAACAAATCAATTATGTCTCAAATTTAACTCAACATATGCCAGTGATCAAATATTATTATGGACGTATTTCTGTTTTTTATGATTTCACGGCAGATTTTGTCACATTTTCTTCATGTTTCCAATTCATTGATATGTAAAAATTGACCTGAGGGCCACATTGAGGGTTGATGGGGGCCGCATGTGGCCCCCGGGCCGCCAGTTGCCCACCCCTGGGCTAACCCATCAGAATCTGGCTCATAATTTAAAAATCTTTAATCCTATTTTACTATATGGTAGTGTGGGTCCTCTTGCAAATCAATATTTTAATAAATGGTTCAAACACCCCAGCTGAGCTAATTTCACCTTTTTAATTAGAATCCAAAAAGAAAAAGCAATTAAAATGCATACAATAAAAAACGAGGATGGACACAAGGCAACATTTTTTCATCAAAAATTGTGTCCAACATGCTGTCAACTGAAATGTGAGTTAGGATGTAAGGATGCAGTTCAACATTTTTTCATCAAAATATGCCTTAGTTCCGGGGATATGTCACTTCCTTACTGAATGAATCAGATGAAGTAGGAACAAATATCTGCCTACTGTGCGCGCCGACTGAATAGTAGATACTAAACAGTATACAGCACGGATAGTAGGTACTGACTACTGACAGATTGAGTAGGTACTTGGCAATTCGGATACAGCCAGATATTTGTTCCTACTTTCCACAATTTCCTAGTTTGGGATCAATAAAGTAATTATTTTCTATTCTACTTTATCTGATTCATTCCTTTCCGAATAGCCACAGTTCAGTAGGCAGTACGTACTATTCAGTATGGAGTTTCAGTATACTGAACTTTCGTGGTCATTCAGTATGCATTTTTTGGGTCCACCTCAGTATACTGAACATTTCAGCATGGATACTAACTTCCGGGTTTCATGCAGTATGGATCGGATGCGTGCTTTCAGGAAATTAATTGTATTTTACCACCCACAATGCTGTGCAAAATTAAACGTAAATCATCACGTCACTTCTCCAAATCAAAACAAACCAGCGTGGATTAATTGAATAAATCTTTAATCTAGACGTAAAGTCCCGACTGAAATCACTACTTTAAATTAACAACAGAAAATAAAACAAATGTCTGCATTATTATAAACCTTTCCCCCTCTATTTAAATAATACTTTCACTATTTAAATGCGTCTTTATTGGTTTATTTTACTTTATATTCTGTATATTACTGTCTTTCATTTGTACTTTTCTTTATGTAGGCTACTGTATGTTATTTAGTTATTTAATCTGCCTTTTACTTGATTTACATTGTGATATTGTTTTTTTGTTTTTTTTTACCTGTTTGTATATGCGCATTACTCTTCTTGAATAAAGCTAAACAAAAAAAAACAAAAAAAAAAAACGGGTGAATGCGGCCGGTTCGGGAAACGTAAATGACGTCACTTCCTTACTGAATGAATCAGATGAAGTAGAAACAAATATCTGCGTACTGAATAGTAGATACTAAACAGTATACAGCACGAATAGTAGGTACTGACTACTGCCTACTGACATATTGAGTAGGAACTTGGCAATTCGGATACAGCGGGCTGCATCCACCCGTTTTTTTGTTTTGTTTTTTTTGTTTAGCTTTATTCAAGAAGAGAAACGCGCACATACAGTCAGGTAAAAAAAAAACAATATCACAATGTAAATCAAGTAAAAGGCAGACTAAATAACATACAGTAGCCTACATAAATAAAATTACAAATAAAAGACAGTAATATACAGAATATAAAGTAAAATAAACCAATAAAGACGTATTTAAATAGTGAAATTATTATTTAAATCGAGGCAGAAAGGTTTTATAATAATGCAGACATTTGTTTTATTTTCCGATAATTTAAAGTAGCGATTTCAGACGGGACTTTAACTCTAGATTTTAAAAAAATGATTCAACAGGGGTGGTGACGTAGTTCCGGTAAAATCTCAGCCAGCCTCATCATATCCGGTTAATTTCCGCTTTCCGATCGCTTTCACTGCTGCTTCTAAAATCCGGTGATGTCGGGGAAAAGCTATAGATTTCAACGGACTATTAGTTCTACAGCCGAGCATTGTTGTGTGCCGTTATGCGCTGCATCCAGTAAATACAACTCGGCGCTCAGTTTTCACACGTTTCCAAAGGATTTCGAAACGAGACGAAAATGGATTTCTGCGATTAGGCGAGATCACTTCGCGGTGAGCCCCCATACCCGCGTTTGTAGCCGGCATTTTACAAGCGAAGATGTTTGTGAGCCTTTATCTGCGACAGCAAGACGATTGTTGAGGAAGGGAGCAGTCCCTGCCTTGTTCGAGTGGAACAATTTCTCTCTTCCACTTTCAAGACAGGCGGGGGTGATGGAGAGGAGGGAGAGGAAGGAGAGGCCAGTAGAGGAGCAGGACACATCATGTGAGGAGGCAGCTGGCGTCACACATGACCACGACTACGCTGCCGCTCCAGGTCCACTTGTAGACCTAGCTCTCGATGAAAACAAGGCCCGAAGAAGTGAGATCGACCAGCTGAGAAAACAAGTCCAGACACTTAACTTGAAGCAGCGGTTTGGCATTCACCGGTTTGCAGGCTCAGACAGAGACATACGTTTTTTCACAAGGTAAGACTCCAGCATACCTGTTAACCTACTTTCCTGGGAGGTGTAAATCTGCAAGACAGTGACATTATAGACAGCTGTTCATGTGCAAATTCAGCATTAGACATCTAAGGTCCGTCTGATTTACTAAAGGTTTGCATGTGTTAAAATGTGATTTACTAAAGGTTTGCATGTGTTAAAACGTGATTTACTAAAGGTTTGCATGTGTTAAAACATGTAGCTGATCTAAGCATATCTTAATGAGTCCAGCTTGCTGTTGAATTAATGAAACTAGCATGCAGTGCTGCCCCAAAGTTTGTGTGTATTGCAGGATTTAAAGTATGTGACAATGTCAGAATCCTTGCACATGTTATATTTAATACATATTATTGTGTGTGTGTGTGTGTGTGTGTGTGTGTGTGTGTGTGTGTGTGTGTGTGTGTGTGTGTGTGTGTGTGTGTAAGAAATCAAGGCTATGGTAATCATATTTTATGGTGTTTTTTATAAAACATACAACCATTCAAATTTGAATATTAACATCTAAATGTTATTATTTAAGGTTTGGATCTTATGACCTCCTCATACGCTTCTGGACCCAAATAGAACCTGCAGTACCATCTATGATCAGGGTGACACAAGCACAGAGAGGCAACTTCACAGAGCCCACTTTTCCAGCAGTAAGTACCGTTAATAATGAAAATAGCAACAATAATTATTTTTCTCCTTTACCAGCTTGACAAAGATCAGTTTTGATAGAAATAAACTGATTTGGGAGAAACTTAATGCAACTATTCGTTTGTTCTGAACAGGCTGACTCGTTGCAGCCCATAGATGAGATGTTCATGTTTTTGAACTATCTTGCACTTGGTTTGAAACAGTGTGACCTTGCTGACCGCTACGGAGTCCACCAGTCCACAGTCAGTCGCATTATAACAACATGGAGCAACTTTCTGTACACTGTGCTTGGGTCAGTGAGGATCTGGATACCAGAGGAGAAAATTAGGGAAAATTTGCCAACAGAGTTTAAGGACTACGCAGACACCACAGTCATCCTAGACTGCACAGAGCTGAGGTGCCAGTGTCCAACATCACCGCTTCTCCAAAGCGAGGTATACTCTGCATACAAGTCCAATTGCACTCTCAAAGGGCTGCTTGGAGTTGCACCTCACGGGGCAGTCACCTTCATCTCTCCGCTGTATGCTGGATCAATTAGCGACAAACAGATCACCCGAGAGTCTGGAATTCTCTCCCTTTTGAAACCTGGGATGGCTATCATGGTTGACAGAGGTTTTCTTGTTGATGACTTTGTGCCATGTAAGATCTACAGGCCGGCATTTCTCTCTGGCAGATCTCAGATGTCTGCTTCTGAGGTCAGGGAGACACAGGCCATTGCACGTGTCAGGGTGCATGTGGAGCGTCTCATACGCCGCGTAAAGGAACACAAGTTCTTCGAGACAGAGATTCCACTCCGGCTTTTTGGAAACATTAACCAACTTTATTCTGTTGCATGTCTCCTAACAAACTATGAAAATGGGCCTCTTGTTAAGACTTGGTCCAAGAAGCCAGAGTAGTGTCGGAATCTGGGCTGCAACTGTTCATTGATTTTATCTTTTAGGGCAAAATGTTAATCTTGTAAATAGCAATTATCTGTATATACTAACATGAAATCTGTTTTATATTCTTCTAGTGCGAAATGTTAATCTTGTAAATAGCAATTATCTGTATATACTAACATGAAATCTGTTTGGTGTTGTTGAAGTCATTGAAAATTGGTTTGTTGAAATACATTCACTTTGGACCCAGATTTCTTTTGCTTACCTTCTTTTCTTTAGAAATTAAATTTATGAAACAACACTACTACAACAACATGCTATTGATCACATTGTATTGCAGAACATACATTTTATACATGAAACACTCCCAAGCTATTGATCACATTATATTGCAAAACATACATTCTCACGAGTGTAAAACATTTCATTTTTAAGCACAATGGAAACTTAATCAAATAATTAATGTAGTGCAAAACAACAACATACATTTAAAATTGAATCCATCATGGAGAACACACTGCTGACGCCTTTGCTTCCTAAGCTAACTAAGGAAGTGGGTAGGTACACATAAAAAAATAAATGGTCAATTTTTTTTTCTTTCATTTTTTTTAGGATTTCCTTGACTCTGGGAATTCTCTGGATAAACATGTCTGTGTATAGACAACAAAGTCGCACCATTTTCAAATTTTCGACATGTCAACATTTCTTCATGAAAATTCGACAGGACAGGGTTCAACGTTTTTATTAAACATTTTTGACAGGTCCGGGGTCAACATTTTTTCCTGAAAACTTTGGTCAACATCTTTTCATGAAAATTCATGACAGGTCCAGGGTCAACATTTTCTCATGATAATTTTCGACATGTCAACATTTTTTCATGAAGATTCGACAGGACAGGGTTCAACGTTTTTATTAAACATTTTTGACAGGTCAAATTTTTTTTGTGATTTCCTTGACTCTGGGAATTCTCTGGATAAACATGTCTTCCTGTGTATAGACAACGAAGTCACACCATTTTCTCATGAAAATTTTCGACATGTCAACATTTTCTCATGATAATTTTCGACAGGTCAACATTTTCTCATGAAAATTTTGACAGGTCTGGAGTCAACATTTTCTCATGAAAATTTTTGACAGGTCAACATTTTTTCATGAAAATTTTGTTCAACATTTTTCCATGAAAACTTTCAACAGGTCCGGGGTCAACATTTTTTCATGAAAATTTTGGTCAACATTTTTTCATGAAAATTCATGACAGGTCCAGGGTCAACATTTTCTCATGATAATTTTTGACATGTCAACATTTTTTCATGAAAATTTTCGACAGGTCCGGGGTCAACATTTCTTCATGAAAATTTACGACAGGTCAACATTTTTTCATGTCCAATACATCCAGCTGTTGTCATAAATTTACTGAAGTGCAATAAACTGATAGCATAAGTGAGCTAACTACAGGTAGCAAGGTATTTTTTGTCATGATTGTTTCTGTAATTATTATCACTTGTGAAAGCATTTGAGTTCAAAATCATATACAGACACACATACTTACCCACACAAGATCAAAACATGCACATTACCAACATGTACATAGACATGAGGTAGCAGTAAAGAAAAAAAGGCATAGCTCTTGTCCAAAGCAGAGTTCACATTATTTTACCAAAAGTGTAGTGTGCCTTTATGCAGTGTTCGGTATAGTTAGGGTAAAGCCCTTTTTAAATAAATGAATACATAGGTAGATAGAAAATAAATAAATAAGCAAATAATTATTTGTCTTTTCCATAGGAGCAACTTTTACAAGGGAGTCAGTTCCCTACTGCCTGAACTCTCCACTCTGAAGGTGGATGAAGTCTACCATGGACTTCCCAGTGATGTGGCTCCATTAATAACAACTATGGCAATAGGCCACAATGTTCGTCTGGTTGATTCTGCGTTTGGAAAAGTGCAAGAAGGAAATGTATTATCTTACCAAATGCCAACAAAAAGAGTGCCAAAAACCTGTCCACACACAGCTGCCCCTTCACCAGTACAGGCTGGGACAATGTACATGTTCTTTTGTCTGCACTGAACATCAGCAGCTCCACATGATGTTATTGGAAACATCCTTAGAAACAGCACATACAATTGAATCAAGTACAAAAGAGCAGAGCTCCTGCATTGAGTGGCACCAATTAAGAAGATACAGAGTCACATCCTCCAAATTTAGAAAGATCAGTCACACCAGAAGTCACAGCTCTGCTGTAAATCTTGTTAAAAAGCTACTGAGACCCAGCTATCAGACTACAGACATGAGGTGGGGGCTTTAAATGGAGCCTGCAGCTGTAGAGGAGTACCGTACTGTCAAAAATGTTCAAAGAAAACGTTGAACCTTGTCCTGTTGAATCTTCAAGAAAAAATGTTGACACCGGACCTGTCGAAAATTTTCATGAAAAGATGTTGACCCCGGGGTCAACACTTTTTCATGAAAATTTTGGTCAACATTTTTTCATGAAAATTCGACAGGACAGGGTTCAACGTTTTTATTAAACATTTTTGACAAGTCTGGGGTCAACATTTTTTCATGAAAATTTTGGTCAACATTTTTTCATGAAAATTCGACAGGACAGGGTTCAACGTTTTTATTAAACATTTTTGACAGGTCTGGGGTCAACATTTTTTCATGAAAATTTTGGTCAACATTTTTTCATGAAAATTTTCGACAGGTCCGGGGTCAACATTTTTTCATGAAAATTTTGGTCAACATTTTTTCATGAAAATTTTCGACAGGTCCGGGGTCAACTTTTTTTCATGAAAAGTTTGGTCAACATTTTTTCATGAAAATTTTCGACAGGTCCGGGGTCAACATTTTTTCATGAAAATTTTGGTCAACATTTTTTCATGAAAATTTTTGACAGGTCGGGGTCAACATTTTTTCATGAAAATTTTGGTCAACATTTTTTCATGAAAATTCGACAGGACAGGGTTCAACGTTTTTATTAAACATTTTTGACAGGTCTGGGGTCAACATTTTTTCATGAAAATTTTGGTCAACATTTTTTCATGAAAAGTTTGGTCAACATTTTTTCATGAAAATTCGACA